GTTAGCAATGATCCACAAATGAAATGAATGTTTACTGTTGCTTGTGTGGCATTAATCCCAAAGGAAGCAGCTAAATCTGTCAGAACTACCGGTTGAGATGAAATGACTAACAATATTTCTGGCTTCTCAAAGTGATCACATTTCATTATGTTTGATTTCTCTTGAGCCACTCAAATGAAAAACAGCAATGCCACAGTGTTTACACTTTAATCTTTTCGAGGAAGTTAAGAACCTATATGGTGTCTGCACATTAAACTGGTATCAACAAAGGGATCATTTGACTTCTTTTTTTTTTTTTTTTTGGTCAAACAGTTGTCATTTTTTAAAAACAAGAAAATGGTTCAGAATTGAGTATGCCATTTGATCATCTACTTATAGAAACAGAGCGGTAGTGACTCTTTCCATTTTCAGTAGGATTTGATAAACAGAAATGTAAACACAACTTGCCCATTACAACACTTGTTGTCTGTAAGCCTACATGTTAATGTACATGTTACTACATGTTTGCATGCAGGAAGTCATCCAGCTGCTGGTGTGCTGATTGTCCATTGGCATGTCCAGCCTTTGCAAGTGGTAGTGGATCAAGGTGTCTCTGTTATCTTTAGAGATCAGCACAGATTTTCAGGCTTTCACACATTTATTGGTAAAAATTAACAATATAAACTAAAACTGAGAATTTAATGCACTGCTGCATATGGAAAATGTTGAACAGGGGAACTAAAGAACTTTCAATGTTTAGTTTAATTTTAATGTAAAATAATGGAAAACCGTTTTTGGAGGTTGTAGTAATAATAACAGTGGGTGATGTTGACAGGAGAGGAAAAGCATAAGCTTAAGCAAGCTGCCCCAGGGAAATCCTCTGCTTCACTAAGCAGCTTGGTGCTGCTCCACAGCTGGGGTGTCATTGTTTTGATAACGGCGTACATTGAAAGGCTCGATGTGACACTCCATGACCCCTGAGTGTGTGCTGAGAGCGAGGATCTGTGCTTGTTTATTAACAAGCCCGTGTTTCTAAGCTGTCTGCCTGGAACAGTGTCAGCAATGGGTTTGAAGTAGCACTTTTCTTAGTGCTTTTAAACTGAGTGATGTGAGTGAGGTAATATTTTGTGTTGTGTTGTTGTTGTATGGCCAGTCTTTTTAAACACAATAATCTTGAGTGAGGTTATGTAAGTAGAGGCCAGTGTGGGCAAAGCATGATATATATGAATGTGTTTCTCCCATCTAAATAGGACTGTGCTGCTCATTGAAGTAAAGTTGGCTTTTTAAATCATAAGGCAAATTGACCAAAAACATTGACGCATCATGCACTTCACAGATTTTTGTCCAATCAAATGCTTCCTCTAAAACAACCTGTCACAGACTAGCAGAAAATTATGGTTCATTGATCGCTGTTCTGACTCAGAGGAAGCTCATTTGCTGCTCATATGTCACTCATATTACGCGCATCTATAATAGAGAATATTATATTATATATAATATATTGTTATATAGATCAGTGGTTTCTACCCCGTCTCTTCCAATGACGAACTTACACTAGTGGATGGGTAAGCCATGTAACACCAGAATAATGTCTGAATAAAAACAAAAGAATAATGAGGATTACATCTCATAACCGTCCTGGTAGAGGTCACAACGCAAAGAGGAGAAAATACTGTAGCAGTTAGAGCAGCTCACTGTTCACAAAATATCTGATCCTGAATATTGAATTGGGGTGGGGGTTTATATGAATGTATCTCTGAGAGGAACTGACTGTCTTCAGAAAAGTTTAGATATTTTCTTTTCATCTTTCCTCTGTATAATGCATATTAAAGTAGTGGCTATAAATGCCGCACTGCTTTGTTTACAGCGGTAACCAAGGAAACGCTGTATCGCTGTTGTTCCATAAGCGCCTCCTGCTGTCAGAATTTGCATTTTCATTTAGCCCGTCTGCTTGATAAAACAGAAAGCTTAATAAATGTGATAAACCGTGAAACCGCCAGAATCCTAAAAAACAAAAAAAAACGGGTGATACAGATTTTTGGTCAAACCGCCCAGCACTAGTCAGGTAACTATAGGTCTTTCACCAGTGGGAAATGTTTTAGCAGAAAGCAGCTCTGCCTCAGACTGCACTCTGTCTCTGTGTGGAGCCTGTAGGCGGGAATGAATGAATATGATCCGCCAGTTCATGATTTGGCTGCCTTCTCTTCTAGGGCGTGAGAACATGTGGTTGTGTCATAGTAATTTTCAGAGTTTAAAGTCATACCTCTTTACAAACAATCTGCCTTGACAATGGAATGAGCCCTGGAGGAAAATGCTTGCATTTCAGAGATGTTAAAAATAGCAAGTTTGTGGTTTAAAAGAGCCTTTCTTGAATTGTACACATTTTTAAACATTGTGTTCTGTCACAAAGTGCTCACTACTACATCCATAATTCCGAATGTTTCTATGCGCAGAGCTGACAGCCAAATACTGATTGTTGTGAGAACTGTGCTTTTCAGAAAAAAAATACACTTGTTAGCAAACCTTGTTAGCAATGATCCACAAATGAAATGAATGTTTACTGTTGCTTGTGTGGCATTAATCCCAAAGGAAGCAGCTAAATCTGTCAGAACTACCGGTTGAGATGAAATGACTAACAATATTTCTGGCTTCTCAAAGTGATCACATTTCATTATGTTTGATTTCTCTTGAGCCACTCAAATGAAAAACAGCAATGCCACAGTGTTTACACTTTAATCTTTTCGAGGAAGTTAAGAACCTATATGGTGTCTGCACATTAAACTGGTATCAACAAAGGGATCATTTGATTTTTTTTTTTTTTTTTTTTTGGTCAAACAGTTGTCATTTTTTAAAAACAAGAAAATGGTTCAGAATTGAGTATGCCATTTGATCATCTACTTATAGAAACAGAGCGGTAGTGACTCTTTCCATTTTCAGTAGGATTTGATAAACAGAAATGTAAACACAACTTGCCCATTACAACACTTGTTGTCTGTAAGCCTACATGTTAATGTACATGTTACTACATGTTTGCATGCAGGAAGTCATCCAGCTGCTGGTGTGCTGATTGTCCATTGGCATGTCCAGCCTTTGCAAGTGGTAGTGGATCAAGGTGTCTCTGTTATCTTTAGAGATCAGCACAGATTTTCAGGCTTTCACACATTTATTGGTAAAAATTAACAATATAAACTAAAACTGAGAATTTAATGCACTGCTGCATATGGAAAATGTTGAACAGGGGAACTAAAGAACTTTCAATGTTTAGTTTAATTTTAATGTAAAATAATGGAAAACCGTTTTTGGAGGTTGTAGTAATAATAACAGTGGGTGATGTTGACAGGAGAGGAAAAGCATAAGCTTAAGCAAGCTGCCCCAGGGAAATCCTCTGCTTCACTAAGCAGCTTGGTGCTGCTCCACAGCTGGGGTGTCATTGTTTTGATAACGGCGTACATTGAAAGGCTCGATGTGACACTCCATGACCCCTGAGTGTGTGCTGAGAGCGAGGATCTGTGCTTGTTTATTAACAAGCCCGTGTTTCTAAGCTGTCTGCCTGGAACAGTGTCAGCAATGGGTTTGAAGTAGCACTTTTCTTAGTGCTTTTAAACTGAGTGATGTGAGTGAGGTAATATTTTGTGTTGTGTTGTTGTTGTATGGCCAGTCTTTTTAAACACAATAATCTTGAGTGAGGTTATGTAAGTAGAGGCCAGTGTGGGCAAAGCATGATATATATGAATGTGTTTCTCCCATCTAAATAGGACTGTGCTGCTCATTGAAGTAAAGTTGGCTTTTTAAATCATAAGGCAAATTGACCAAAAACATTGACGCATCATGCACTTCACAGATTTTTGTCCAATCAAATGCTTCCTCTAAAACAACCTGTCACAGACTAGCAGAAAATTATGGTTCATTGTAAAAAAAAAGTTGGTTGCAGCAGACAGCAGGTTTATTAAACTGCTGCCATTTTAAGATCTAATGTAATGAAGCACATCTGATTTTCTCCCAACTGTTTACATTCACTTAAGACATCACAGGCTGTGTTTTTGTGAACCTTGTGTGTTTTTGACAGTTTAGGTGGAATAGGCACAATTACATTAATTTCCAACTTGACTGCATTAGACTTAATTGTGAGTGAAGAGTACACTGAGACCCTTTTTACAACCAAAAGAACCAAAATTCCACTCACAAGTTCCGGTACAGTGTGAGTGTGAAGAGAACTGGGTTCTTTTTGTTTTAGTTCACTTTTGGGTCAGTGAGAGATCTCTGAGAGTTTAGACTTTTTTTTATTTTTTAAGAGAAGTGTGAACACCCTTAAAGTCTAAATGAAAATCCACTAAGTAAGAGCACGTTATTGATCTAATTGTGAGCAATTAATCCATGTATATCTTTCATTTTACATTTCTTTTTGACCTTGTAATTTTAAATTATTTCTTGTGAGTATGTAGATTTTGCCTACCTTGTTTCTATTTGAATGTAATTTTTTGTCGTTATGCTTATTTTATTTCTGCGATGTGAGATATTTATTGAATTGCAATTCAAATGGCAATTCCAATATCTGTCAAAACAACTGCAATATAATTCAGATGATGCCAGATGTTTTGTTTTTTTTTGCCAAAATTATACAGCTTTACAACTAAGCAGTATGTAGCTAAGGTTTTGTGCTCTGGCTTAAAAATATCAGTGTGTTGGATTAAAAAATCGACTCGAGTTTATGTGTAGTAACCCATTGATATCACTAAATGAGGTCAGTCTTTGAGATTCAAATTTTGTCCTTTGGTTAGTGGGAGGAAGGAACGCCTACTGATTTGCTTGTGCCTGATCAGAATTGATAATTTTCATTGTTTACCCTTGCTGCACAACAAAATCCACACTGTCCTCCAGCTTGGGCTCAGAAGTACACTTAAAACTAATCCCATTTCCAAGAATTAAATACATAAGTTACAAAAACAACTAAAACGCCTCGGCAGACTTTCTCTCTTCTTTCTTTTCCAAATGCATTCACTGTGTCTTCCTCTTGATTAAAGGTGCAGTTCCAGAAGATCCAGCAGCTCCGTCTGTCACAGAACCGGGCACAGTACTACGGTGGCTCGCTGCCCAACGTCAACCAAATAGGCAATGCCAGCACTGATTTCCAGGTACCTGGGTTGCCCTCCATCCTCTTATCTAAGTCTACTAAATCTGTCCAGCAAGTCATGTTCATTTAGGAGAAGATAAGCCCCAGCCATATACTCCGTTTTTCTACCCTCAGATAAACGATAGAGATGGCAGTGTAGTAACCCATTGATATCACTAAATGAGGTCAGTCTTTGAGATTCAAATTTTGTCCTTTGGTTAGTGGGAGGAAGGAACGCCTACTGATTTGCTTGTGCCTGATCAGAATTGATAATTTTCATTGTTTACCCTTGCTGCACAACAAAATCCACACTGTCCTCCAGCTTGGGCTCAGAAGTACACTTAAAACTAATCCCATTTCCAAGAATTAAATACATAAGTTACAAAAACAACTAAAACGCCTCGGCAGACTTTCTCTCTTCTTTCTTTTCCAAATGCATTCACTGTGTCTTCCTCTTGATTAAAGGGGCAGTTCCAGAAGATCCAGCAGCTCCGTCTGTCACAGAACCGGGCACAGTACTACGGTGGCTCGCTGCCCAACGTCAACCAAATAGGCAATGCAAGCACTGATTTCCAGGTACCTGGGTTGCCCTCCATCCTCTTATCTAAGTCTACTAAATCTGACCAGCAAGTCATGTTCATTTAGGAGAAGATAAGCCCCAGCCATATACTCCGTTTTTCTACCCTCAGATAAACGATGTCAAGAGATGGTAATTGCAAACATTCTCCTTAAAAAACAAAGAGTGTATTTGTCCCAACCTCTTAGTCTGCCCTTACTTCGCCTACTCCTTCAGTACACGGCTTTCCCCACAAGTACACCTGATACAGCAGTGCGCTCCAAGAGCCGAAGAACTGTATCTGTGTCTATCCCCTATGGAGAACAGTGTTGTATACCTTCAGGTGAAACCGCTCTTGTTGCTGTGAATAAAGCTTCCTTGAGACATAGAGCAGTGATCCCTACTTTTTGTCTGCCATGAGAAACCAAACCTAGAGAGGTAAAAGCACTTTGGAGTAGAGTGAATTCCCCTGGGAACATAAGCTAATGGTGGCACATTGAAAACTCTTGTGTGTATTTTTTGTTTGTGTATTGTTGCGTGTTTTTTTCAGTCCTGCAATATGGACGCTCTGATGTCTTTTCTCTAACCATTTTTACTGTTTAAGTCATATATATGACAGATTCCTGCATTTGTGAGGAAAATGTTAACCAAGAAGGTTTTTCTCCACAGGGGACTTTTCCCTCCGGACTGGACTCTGTGCGAGGGACCAGACACCATGGTCTGGTGGAGAGGGTTCATCGAGACCGCAATCGGATCAACTCACCGCACTGCAGGCCCATCGACAAGCACGGGCGGCAGATATCCTTTAAGTTCACTAGTGTAAAGACCTTTGTAGAGGAAAAAAGTGATCTGTGAGGGTCTTTGCTTACGCTAGTAGATGCAGAATTTTTATGAGCTCACAATGTTGTATGTGTCATACATGTTGACCTTTGCTCATGTGGGCAGCTTTTTTGAGGCTTCAGGCTGTGTGATGATCCTTTATGTATTAATATTCCCACTGCTGCACCGTGGGTGTGAATGAGTGGGTAACTGCAATAACCTGCTGTTTCTCCCCGCTTATGTTTGTTTTGTTTTTTTTCTTCCTGTGAGAACTGTTTAGAGATTTGAATATCAGTACTCTGGTGTCCTCATTAGTGTGTATTGCGCATTCTGCCGCTAGTTCTACATTCATTCAGCACGCAGGTTGGTGAAATCACTGGCTACGCCGGCCCGGCTGGTCTTTTATCCTCCTCGGTTGTGTAGTCGATGGATTTCTTTCATCAATTTTTCAGTGGTTGTCTGTAAGCTTAATCGTCTGTGGGCTCAAAGATAATTTCTGTCTGCAGATTTAGCTTAGTGCTAAAGATTAAATAAAAAATAAAAAGGCCCTAATGCCTTCTGAGTTGCCATACTGTTTTGAAGATGTGGAAGTCATGAACAGTCTTCCACTGATCTAGTTTTGATTTCATATTCATATTTTTGAAGCCACCCAGAGGTTTTGAATTATCTAGTACCAGAGTAAGAAGCTACTCCGTAGTCTTTAATATTGGGATAGTTTGTGAACGGTCCACTTGCTCTGATGCCGTGCCATACGGAGAGACAACAAAGTGAGGGAGACAGAAGAAAAAAAGTGTGGCAGAGTTAAGTTACGTAAGCGCTTTGAATGATGGGTTCAAAGTAATTCCACACGGTGTGCCACGGCCGCCCTTGTTCTTTGAGCGGGAAAAGGCATTTGTGACCGCAGTCATGCTAAAAACGGCAAGACCTGTTTGTCAGAACTCTGGCAGCTCTGCTCTGTGAATTGAACCACTCCCTCCCCAAGAGCTGAAGATATTCTGGCTTATTCTCGTGGGTTCTTCAGAGTTTTTTTCTTCATCTCGTTGTCTGTTTGTGATTTTTGATTGTTCTCATTAATTGCTAAACAGTTGTTTCTAGTTGTCTCTGTAACTCTGAAAATGATTTTAATTAATTTTCATGGGTTGTTAACTTGTTATCGTCTTCAAAGGTCGTTGCTTTAGGCTCAAAGCTTTCAGGTTTTGTTGTTGTTGCTTTCAGTTCGAGTTCAGCATGTGTTTCGTCCCTGTGAATAAGAAGGCTTACTAACACTCATTCATTTGATGCAGCAAAGAGTCCAGATTGATGTAGTTCAATTCCCACTCATTCTTCAGTGACTTGTTAGTACGGCTGGGCGATATGGCCAAAAATATTATCACGATCAAATTTTTCATATCAGTCGATATTGATAATTATCTTTCAGGTTTAAAGGCAGATTTTTGCTCCTAAGTGAAAGTTGTAGAAACAAGACTTGTGGCTTTACTACTCTTTATGGTCAGAGCGTGACAAACACTTCACGCTTTTGAATTCTTTACACTTTTCCAGTCATTTTTCCTTAACAAAATAAATATCTTAATAGAAAAAAAGAATTCCTCAGTTTCTGCATGTTCTAATGAGTGATATTGTTTCAAATCATGAAACAGGCTTGTGTTGACTTTGACATGTATCCTCGGCACAGTTTGCAGTGCAATGGTCTTTTATCCTCCTCGGTTGTGTAGTCGATGGATTTCTTTCATCAATTTTTCAGTGGTTGTCTGTAAGCTTAATCGTCTGTGGGCTCAAAGATAATTTCTGTCTGCAGATTTAGCTTAGTGCTAAAGATTAAATAAAAAATAAAAAGGCCCTAATGCCTTCTGAGTTGCCATACTGTTTTGAAGATGTGGAAGTCATGAACAGTCTTCCACTGATCTAGTTTTGATTTCATATTCATATTTTTGAAGCCACCCAGAGGTTTTGAATTATCTAGTACCAGAGTAAGAAGCTACTCCGTAGTCTTTAATATTGGGATAGTTTGTGAACGGTCCACTTGCTCTGATGCCGTGCCATACGGAGAGACAACAAAGTGAGGGAGACAGAAGAAAAAAAGTGTGGCAGAGTTAAGTTACGTAAGCGCTTTGAATGATGGGTTCAAAGTAATTCCACACGGTGTGCCACGGCCGCCCTTGTTCTTTGAGCGGGAAAAGGCATTTGTGACCGCAGTCATGCTAAAAACGGCAAGACCTGTTTGTCAGAACTCTGGCAGCTCTGCTCTGTGAATTGAACCACTCCCTCCCCAAGAGCTGAAGATATTCTGGCTTATTCTCGTGGGTTCTTCAGAGTTTTTTTCTTCATCTCGTTGTCTGTTTGTGATTTTTGATTGTTCTCATTAATTGCTAAACAGTTGTTTCTAGTTGTCTCTGTAACTCTGAAAATGATTTTAATTAATTTTCATGGGTTGTTAACTTGTTATCGTCTTCAAAGGTCGTTGCTTTAGGCTCAAAGCTTTCAGGTTTTGTTGTTGTTGCTTTCAGTTCGAGTTCAGCATGTGTTTCGTCCCTGTGAATAAGAAGGCTTACTAACACTCATTCATTTGATGCAGCAAAGAGTCCAGATTGATGTAGTTCAATTCCCACTCATTCTTCAGTGACTTGTTAGTACGGCTGGGCGATATGGCCAAAAATATTATCACGATCAAATTTTTCATATCAGTCGATATTGATAATTATCTTTCAGGTTTAAAGGCAGATTTTTGCTCCTAAGTGAAAGTTGTAGAAACAAGACTTGTGGCTTTACTACTCTTTATGGTCAGAGCGTGACAAACACTTCACGCTTTTGAATTCTTTACACTTTTCCAGTCATTTTTCCTTAACAAAATAAATATCTTAATAGAAAAAAAGAATTCCTCAGTTTCTGCATGTTCTAATGAGTGATATTGTTTCAAATCATGAAACAGGCTTGTGTTGACTTTGACATGTATCCTCGGCACAGTTTGCAGTGCAATAATAATAATAATAATATTACATTTTTTAGTCTCTTAGAAATGCACATTTGACAGTAGCTTGAGTTGACCGTAGTAGTAGCTTGAGTTAGGATGCAGATGCAAATTTATGTTCATTATCAAAAACAGTAACATCTGTCAAAATTGTAACAATCTCATTTTAATATGGTGAAATTGAACTATTCTGACTGTTTGAGTTTCATTAAAATTAACCATTGGTCTTCCATAGTAGCACACATTTAGATCATGATAACCACAATTAAAACCACACATCACACCTCAATACCATGGTAAAAATGTAACCGTAACTATGGTTTCTAGGTGTTTGTATGAAAAACAATAGTCTAAATACATTTAGTATAAATGCATAAACACTATAACTTAATCACAAAAAATACTGTAATTATATTCCATTAATCCTTTTATACATTTAATACATATCTAAATTAATAATATAATAAAATTTGATATGAATATCCAACATTTCAGCCACAGTACCATGGTGCAGTTTGTGTTGCTACAGTAAATCCATGATAAATGATGGAGATCTTCTTACTGTATCTTTGCGCAGATTTTCTCCTGTTTGTCTGTGCTGTTTCATCTGGCTTTAAGCTAGTTTAAATCACTAGTTTAAATAAACATTATATTTAACATTGATCAAACTCTTGGTATGGTTTTATCGAGGAAAATCATATTGTGATAATTATCGTTATCATATCGTTATCGTTAGTGGTGCATCACTTTTACTTTTTCTCATACTTAAAGTTAGGTATTTAAACAAACCCCTGAGTGTTTAACTTGTAAATATATAATATTAACTTGTCCTGCACATTTGTAACAATGATTTTTACATTTACATTTAGGCAGCTGCTTTTACCAAAGCAACTTACATTGCATTCATGCTCTACATTTTACCAGTTCATGCATACCCTGGAAACTGAACCCATGACTTTGGCGTTGTTAGCGCCATGCTTTACTGTTTGAGCCACAGGAAGAGCATGCTTTTATTTTTCTAAGCAATCAAACTTACAGTTTTTATCAGGTACCACTCAGAACATTGTGGGCACATACACACTGCAAAGTCTAAGAAGTGAATCCTGCAAATTATCTTTTGTTCGGTGTGTACAGAGTCACTTCTGAAACTGACGATTGAAAACCTTAATAATGTTCTGGCATCTTGCATCCATGAATGATAAATAAGAATGCAAACCAATATTTGCATATTAATCCAATGTTTAACCAATAGTTGTGACCAAAATTAAAATTAGTGACTGAAGAGGCATTATTTCTGGCAAATTTAAAGGGGCTCTGAAATGCATTTTCAGATCTTTATATTATTTCTGGAGGTTAGCATATATTTAGCAAAGATATTGGCACCATAGACCGTATAAAAACATGGACGTAGTGTCCGTGATGTCACCCGTAGGTTCCTGAAGAGCGTTTTTGAAGCTCAAAGTGGGCGGAGCCGGCCGTCGCCATCTTTGCAGCGCGTCACCGCGCGTCACTCCCGGATAATCGAAAATGGGCAAAAAGGCGGGAGCTGGTTGCTGAAACCACGCCCACCTAACTCGACGGTGGTGACAGCAGC